TGTATAGTCCCACTTTTGACAACGGTTGGGTTCAAAAAACGAAATTTTTTTATAGAGTTGTTTTTAAGAGGAAATCTAGCAGTAATTTGGGTGCAACCTTCAATGTAAAAATCCAAACAACGTAGTCGAAAAAATTTAATCTGTTCATCTGTAAGGTTCAGTCGCGTCATTGAAGCGACGACTTTTGCTCCAAAATACATGTTTTCTATAGCTAAATAATTTCTTGGATTTTTAAAATCAATATTTTCGATTGAAGTGGTTGTTATATAATTTCTTTGAAGGAAGCAATCATAAATTGTTTTCAAAACCAGGCAAACATTATCATACAAAACATGCAATTTTGGGGACTCGGATTGCATTTCTATATTTAAAATATTGAATAGAGGCAACACATAATCCAAAAATTCTAGAAATAATTTTGAAACTGGATCATTCAATTTCTGCAGTATATTATTTGCAGCAAGGACATCATTACTGTTGACAGCATCAGTAAAATATAGTTTCAGAGCAGCGTACTGTTCTAAGATTCGAATTACCACACCATGAACTGAAAGCCATCTGGTTTGCGATGGATGTAGAATTTTGTGGGTTTTTATATTGCAAAATTGCTGAAATTGGCTGAATTCACAAACTCTTTTTGGGCTAGAATTAAAATAATTGTAAATATCGCGGCAGAGATCTTCGACGTACCTAGGTAATTTGTGACACGCATATGATGCGCACAAGTGAAACGAATGGCATATACATTTTATAATATATAAGTTAGGTATATCATTTTTTAATAGTGTCATCAAAGAATGGTGACTTCCCATCATAACATTAGCTCCATCGGATGCAAACCCTATCAAATTATTTTTGTAGAGAATATTATTGTGGTTTATGTAAAATGTTACTTCTGTGACATATCTTGGAGATGACCAAAAAACAAAAAAACAAGCAAAAATTCTCAAAATTTAGGACTTTTTGAAATCTCCCAAAATTCTCAATATTTCAAAACTCCAATAAATTTCTAGGACAGATCTGGTGGGAGATAACAAAATCATAAAAAAAAAAAATCACTCCCAACCTCACAAAACGAAGAAAAACAATTCCAAATTTTAAATCTCCCAACTTGGAAAACAAAATAAAGCATGTAACCCCAAAATCGGCAACATTTTAAGGAACAAAAAATTTTAAAAATTTCTAGGACAAAACTTTGTGGGAGGTTTCAAAAACAATAAAAACCATCAAATTTGAAACACATGCCCATTAAAAACAAAACAAAAATCACAAAAAAACTACAAAAAACATCTCCCACAACATTTATACCCTAAAAATGCTAAAAAATTCTATGAAAACTGGAGGCTAATCTACCATCACAAAAACATGCTAGCATTTCTGGCCAGTCCTTCCGTGGGAATGCAATAAAATCACAAAAACCATTAAAAATCAAGACATATTTGCATAAAAAATCAGAAAAAAATAAAAGGAGAGACTTATCTCCTAATTGCTACCGGTATTTCAAGATGAAAAATATTAGTGGCTTTCTACTTCCCACAAATTCTGTAAACCTCACTATTATTTTAAAAGCTTTATCCTTTTTGCTCCTATTTAATGGGCAGACATTATACAGTGAAAGTCTCCCAACATTCTATCTGACCACATTCTATCTACCTGTGTCGGGGGTTAGGCAGGGGATGATACTTGGTCCGTTGTTGTTTGCTCTTTTTAATGATGGCTTTATCTTCCTTGGTAACCGGTTCAAATGTTCTTATGCATGCTGATGACATAAAATTATCTAGATGTATCGATTCCAGTCGTGACGGATGACCTGTTGCAGGAAGATGTTTGATAGGATGCATTCTTGGCTTGTCTCTCATGGATTAATTTTGAATCTGCGAAAAACAAAAGTTATGTCATTCACATGTAGGAGACGGCCAGTGCTTAATATTTATACATTATCCGGAGTGGCTATTGAATGTGTGTCGGTTGTGAGAGACCTTCGGGTGCATTTCAATGCGAAGATGAGTTTTAATGCCCTTGTCGATCATGTTTTAGCACACTTGCTTTAATCAAGCACTCCACAGTGGGGCTCTCATCTCTGATCTTACTTTGCACTTTATTTACGTCGATGATCTTGCCGAAGATACTGTGTGGTTTAATATTACTGTGTCCTTAAAATATTACTGATTTTGGGGTTACAATACTTTATGTTTTTGAAATTGGGAGATTTAAAATTTGGAGTTTTTTCTTCTTTTGTGAGGTTGGGAGTGGTTTTTTGATGTTTTTTTCATCTCCCACAAGATCTGTTCTAGAAATTTTTTGGAGGTTTGAAATATTGAGAATTTTGAAAAGATTTAAAATTGTAATGGGCGAGTATCAAAACTTGAAGTAAGACTGAAATTACTGATCCCTAATCAATATTTTAATAAAAATGTTTCACTAGTGCCTGTTTAATTTTAAAATGAAATTGAATCTTATTATAAAACCTGTTCCATGTTCACTTGGGATATTGTCCTTATCCCTTAAATTTAAACCATCTATAAAACTTGAGATTCCATTTATATACTATCCTAGATCAGTGGTTCCCAAAGTGGGCAATGAGTAAATGTAAGAGGGGGGTGAAAACAAATGAGTGGCAGGGGGTGCTGGAGTACTGCATGGGACTGAACAGTAACCATAGGGAAGGGTTGGGGGTCACTGACAACCTTTCCCTTTTTTCTGTTAATGGTTCCAGATGTGGAGAATAATGGTAAGTGTGAGTATCATAGAAAAGTTTTTCTAAGAATATTTCCAAGCCTTTCTCACACAGCAAAAAATGGTTAGGGGCATTGAGGTACTGTTGGGGGAATTAGGTATATACAGGTAACACCCGTATAACACGGGAGTTACGTTCCAAAAAATTGCCGTGTTACACGAATTCGTGTTATATGAAACAAAGAACTAGTGCAAAAAGTGGGGTTAGGTTCCAAAAATTAAAAAACATGCTGTTAAATCCTTATTTAAATCAAATTTATTATTCATTTTTTTTCATAGGTAAAATACTTATTTATTATTTAAGTAAATATTTTACCAGAGGATTATTCATCCTATATAATGATCTCAGCATGAGCATCATCAACTGGTAACAGTGTTTGGGTGCGTTCGTTAATAGCAGTCGTTCTGCAATAGGAGTGCACTGCTGTTTGTAGGCATTTAGGAACGACGGTGAAAGAAAGATGGCGGCGCCCGCACTATCGATAGTATCATGATGGAGGAATCTATAATTTTAAAATGAACTTTTAGAGGCAAAAGAAGGGTCCCAATTGTAAAATATAACCATTAAATGGATTATTTGTTGAAAGAGCATTCAAAGTAGCCACAAAACAATTAGAATGCTCGCGCGAAGGTATAAAAGAACGCACCCTTTATTACATTTTATGTTGTACAAGGGTTTTACCTAATTCCCGAAACGTGTTAGAGTGAACCCGTGCTATAAAAGCACCATGTTATACGGGGGATTTCCCCAATTCTCAAACAGCGTTAGAGTGAATCCGTGCTATAGAAGTGCCGTGTTATACGGGGGTTACCTGTACCATGTTTATGGAACCAAGGAAGCATTGGCTCAAAAAAGTTTGGGAATCACTGGCCTAGATGATCATAAGAATAGTACTGCATTAGAACAGAGATTTACCTTATGGTGGCAGAAAAGAGTGTGGGAAGCAAAAAAACTTATACAGAAAACAACAGTAGAAACTTAGCATAACAACTGTATGAACATTGGTATGATGGAACAACACAGCATTAACTTATTACACTAGGACTAAGGATATGAAGAAATGGTGGAACATGACTACAGTAATTTGAAATATTAGATCACCCACATATGTGATAACTGACAAAAAAATTGAGAATTATGGGCAGAAGATTAAGGATTAATGCCTAAATGCAAAGACACAGACACTTCTCATAGCAAGGAAGTTTGAGAACTCTTCCTGGAGTTAATAAATTAGTCTGAACCAATTAGTCCTCATACATATATTGTATAGTTATTGTTTTGTTTGTCTGGTGTTACATTAGTTTTATGTATTATATGATATAACATTATCCATTGTGAGTTGCATCAACCATTCCGAATTTAATTTTAATTTGAAATTGTGATTCCTAACAATGGCCTGTGAATAAGCCAAAAACATTACCAGTGAAATAACACAAAACTACTGTGGAATTTTATATTCTGGTAATTAAAGTATCATAGTAATATTTTTCTGTTTGCCAAATTCCCCACATCTCATTTGAGACATTGATACCTCTGTAGATCCAAAGTACCATAACAACAAGGCCATTTGGTTTTTCCGACGTGGAACTTCTAAGATTGTTCTCTAGTCTGTGCCAACTAAAAACAATTCTGCTATTCCTGTGGTAATAGGCAAAACAGGATTTTCAAAAATTTTCTTACACTCAGAAATGCTTCACTTCCTTCACAAACATACAATGTTTGTTGTTTTTCTTCCTACAATTTCCAATTCTTCTTGGCCACATTAACAATCTTTGAATTTGTCTTCATTGACATATTTAAGGACCAACTCAAGTTTTCTATAAGGCCCAATAATTGGTTTCATTAAAGTCTGTTTGCCTTTGACATAATAGACAACCAATACTACTAAGAATTTCACCATGCTTAATGAATCTAGATTCAATATGGATCATTAAGTTCATTTAAAAATGGTATAAAAACACACACAGCAATATTCTTCAGGTGATTCAACTTTGACATTGCTTCTTACTCAATCTTGGAACACAGTGATGCTGTGATCCTCCACAACAGATTTTTCTTTTTCAAATATAGGCTGCCCTCATTTTATGCTGATGATGCATTCCCGGAGGAGGCATCATAAACAAAATTGGCTCAAAATAAATTGTGATGTATTCCAGGCATTTGTGATGAATATACAATATGTATGTTTTTTTTCAATAAAAACATGTTTAATATTGAAATTTTACTAATACAAAATAATAATAATAATAATATAGAAATTATGGCTTAGGCCTACTTATTTTAAGCTAAAAACAATAATGCAATTTTTATACAGACATTGTGTTGATTTCACACAGCAGTGTCACCAGACACAACTTCAGTTTTGCAAATATGGCCCCGGTTGAGGATTGTGCGCAACTTTGTAAAATATGAATCCAAAGTTTTTTGCCATGCCTTTCTTTTCTTCTTGTTGGAAATGTGCTAAAGCTTTGTTTAAACCCTTCCTTATAAATTCAGAGTCCAGAAAAACCATCCCCAACTACATTAAGATTGGGGATGATTACATCCAGGATCCAGGTTGATTACTGTGAAATACCAAGACTTTGTTCTTAGTAAATAAAGATACTCTTCGAGAAAAGTGTGAAGAGATAGAAATGCTATGGATGTGGCAATTTATGACAACATTGCATGGAACAGCAGCAATGCAAACGGCATAACCATCACCACAGGAAAGAATATCTGGAACATGTTATGAGGATAAAGGGAAAGTGCAATAAGTGACACTTTAAAACCCTGGAATGCTACCTGGTACCTGTACGTTCCCCAAAAACAAAAAGTGAAAGAAATTATGTTTATGACCTTTCGGTTTTGAAAATAACAAAACAATTATAAATTACAACGTGCTTTTGCTTTTGCCTTTCCAATCGTCAAACAAATAAATTATCCACATGCGAAACACATTATCTTTTGGTGCTCCAAACAAATGAACTTTTTGCATACGGCGCATCTGATTATTGATTTTCCGTCTCTAACGAGCAAGTCTCGAGCAGAACGAGAATCTTTCCGTCGTCGGTTCAGGGGTCTCGGTCGTATTTATTTCTTCCTTAACTTTTAGCATACGGCATATTGTTTCCGGGAGTTGGCGAGGCAAAGTCGTTATATCCAAGCGACTCTTCATATGCGGTCTGAATTATCAGAATCGGGACTAAACGATCTGCCCGAAAGAATTTGCACAATAGGAGATAGACGTATTGACGATTTCTCTTCATCTTCAATTTCACTTCGAAAGTCAGCAATAACTGCATCCTCTTCTGAATCTTCACATTCGATGTCTCCGACTCAAGCATTAAATAGAATTTTACGTAGTTCAAACATTGTCATTCTCTTTTGATAAATTAAAGGCATTTCGATTAATGTCCAGATACGTGGACTGACATGGCGGCACTTCCTGTTTCAGCCTCGAAACCGGAGCGGTTTGTTGACGACATGTCACGTGACGACGCGAGCAAACGAAACGGGGAAAACCGACGCGCGGGTTAACGTCCATATACGTAGATTGTCATGGCGCCTCATCTCTGATTCTGGAAAAGGAAACAGTGGGGACGCACGTTCTAACCTAACCTATTCTAATAAATTAGCATAATTATTACCAATTATATTATTAGAATAGGTTAGGTTAGGTTAGAACGTGCGTCCCNGTTGATTACTGTGAAATACCAAGACTTTGTTCTTAGTAAATAAAGATACTCTTCGAGAAAAGTGTGAAGAGATAGAAATGCTATGGATGTGGCAATTTATGACAACATTGCATGGAACAGCAGCAATGCAAACGGCATAACCATCACCACAGGAAAGAATATCTGGAACATGTTATGAGGATAAAGGGAAAGTGCAATAAGTGACACTTTAAAACCCTGGAATGCTACCTGGTACCTGTACGTTCCCCAAAAACAAAAAGTGAAAGAAATTATGTTTATGACCTTTCGGTTTTGAAAATAACAAAACAATTATAAATTACAACGTGCTTTTGCTTTTGCCTTTCCAATCGTCAAACAAATAAATTATCCACATGCGAAACACATTATCTTTTGGTGCTCCAAACAAATGAACTTTTTGCATACGGCGCATCTGATTATTGATTTTCCGTCTCTAACGAGCAAGTCTCGAGCAGAACGAGAATCTTTCCGTCGTCGGTTCAGGGGTCTCGGTCGTATTTATTTCTTCCTTAACTTTTAGCATACGGCATATTGTTTCCGGGAGTTGGCGAGGCAAAGTCGTTATATCCAAGCGACTCTTCATATGCGGTCTGAATTATCAGAATCGGGACTAAACGATCTGCCCGAAAGAATTTGCACAATAGGAGATAGACGTATTGACGATTTCTCTTCATCTTCAATTTCACTTCGAAAGTCAGCAATAACTGCATCCTCTTCTGAATCTTCACATTCGATGTCTCCGACTCAAGCATTAAATAGAATTTTACGTAGTTCAAACATTGTCATTCTCTTTTGATAAATTAAAGGCATTTCGATTAATGTCCAGATACGTGGACTGACATGGCGGCACTTCCTGTTTCAGCCTCGAAACCGGAGCGGTTTGTTGACGACATGTCACGTGACGACGCGAGCAAACGAAACGGGGAAAACCGACGCGCGGGTTAACGTCCATATACGTAGATTGTCATGGCGCCTCATCTCTGATTCTGGAAAAGGAAACAGTGGGGACGCACGTTCTAACCTAACCTATTCTAATAAATTAGCATAATTATTACCAATTATATTATTAGAATAGGTTAGGTTAGGTTAGAACGTGCATCCCCACTGTTTCCTTTTGTTTGCTGCAATCAGCGATGATGCACCATGACAGCCGCCGACGCTCGCGTCGTCACGTGACATGCGTCTCCAAACCGCTCCGGTTTCGAGGCTGAAACATGAAGTGCCGCCATGACAGTCACGTATCTCGACATTAACCGGCATTTCCTTTAATCGATATTTCTAACCAAAAAGCTTACAAACAATAAAATATATTTTGTTAAGAAATAAATTGTCGTATGATTCTATGAGTTATAGAATATTAAATTAAAATTATACTGTACTCTCATCTTTTAACCAGCTTATTTATCTAATATTTTAAAAGAAAAAAAAAACTCATCAAATCACTAAACATATCTTATGAATAATTGTTTCTTACTTACCTTCTTACTGAAACTGAGTTTTAAAATAATCTCTAAGGCTGTAATCATAGCATCTATCGACTTATTAAACGTCGAACGTCGCCATCTTGTTTTGTCAACAAGTGTTGCCACCATTCGGTAGTCGGTAAATTCCGATCTTTTTTAAAAATATTACACTATGATTCCTTTTGTAAGAGACACCATCGTGGAGCTATTTTTTTTTAAACTCTTTCCGCCCTGTGGGCACTAAGATGGCCTCTTTTATCAAGTCCATTATGGGTTCGGCCATGCCCACAACGGGGCCCGACATATTCGGACGAAAAGTTCCTGGGGATTTTTTTTCTTTGTTTGTTTAGTTATGGTAACGCAACACTTGGGCGATCTGCCTAGGGGGTGGTCTTTTTAAGGGAAACTGGCCCCTATTTAGGCGTTTCAGACGGTAGAGAAAACCCGGAAAACTCCACGTGGCCAGTCCGTTCGAGCGATGCTCGAATCCACGACCGAACTCCCGGTGTTCGGGGAACGAAGACCGCTTGGCCACTGGTGGACCTGGATTTTTTGACCCGGCCGAATTCGATCCCGGGTCCCCCAGAACGTTAGGCTGCCATCTTGACCTCTCGGCCATCCGATCGTGTTATTACGGCGTTACCATTAGATGATGTGTTGGAATACCTTAAATTAGTAGAATTAAGCAAAATATGTTAGAGAGGTTGCGGCCGAAGTTTTCATCTCTAAAACGTGAACGTCGAACGTCGCTTACAAAAATAAAAATAAATAAAAATACTAGCAAATATTTATTGTGACGGGCTGCAATTTTTAATTTATTTCATTTAAAATATATGTTCACCACCTCAAATTAGTACTGTAGTGTCTTGCCCCAGTATATCATACTTTTCCTGTTAGCAACAGAGTCGTGTCGGTCATCCATCTAGCAACTTTCAGGGAAATTTTTGAATTGAAATAACGTGACTTCAAGTTTGCAGTGGAAGTTCGTATATAGTTAATCGGAGCCTCCTGCCCCTAAACTTTCCATATAATTTATCTAACACATCGCGATTAACACTGCATGGCTGCATATTTGCAACCCATAGTAATTTCCGAACCAATAGGATCAAGCACCAAATGATTGGAGTAAATAGATTTGCGAGTCCTAAGCATTTCCGGAATAACAATTCAGAAGTCAAATTCCATTGTTGTGAAATATTTATATCCACGACATTTGCGTGTTAAATTGTTCTTAGATGAAAACAGAATACAAATTTCATATTCATTATGCAATTTATAATCATTCTACTTATAATTGTTCTTTACGATGTGCTAATTTCCTCAGCATGATGGCTGGAAATACTTTTAATAAATTAAATACTGTATTAGTTTTTAATGATAAATAAAAACATAAAAAAAAACCTAAGTATTTTGATCTGTTTGTGAATATTTGTAATTATGTAATTAATTATGTTTAATTTACATAAAAACATTCACACGGATTTATTAAAAATAGTTTTCGTCACCCCAAATAGATGATAAATTTACAATGCCTGCAATATAAACAGAACAAATTTTATTACTTTTCGGCAATAAAACATAGAAAAAATAAAGAAAACATTCAGTTAAGTTTGTTTATAACAGGCAGTCCAGTCGCAATTTCTATATGTTTCATTCATATACCTTGTATTTCTCGCTTCAGGAAAAATCTTCGATCTCACTTTTGTCAATTTCTATGGAATTTTTTATTCTATGCGGAACACGGTTATAATAATAGAAAAATATTTATCCAGCATTCTAAACGGGCTTATACTAATAGTAATTTTCGATGCTCTATCTGTTTTCCAACCCGGAAGTTTCTATGTTATGCGGATGTTGACTTACACCTTATAAAAATCCCAAAATCGTTTGATCTGATCTATGTGGTTCAACTAAACTACTGTATATCATATTGAAAAATATCCTTGAAATTCCGAGGATATATCCTTGGAATTTCAAGGAAAAATATCCTTGGAAATATTCTTTCCAAGGATATTTTTCAAATGCGCTTTTTTACTTTCCCTGCTGTTATGTAGCCTATCCATAACAAAGGAAAGTATTGGAATAGTGAAATTTTACCCTCCGAGTTTTTTTGTGCGCCCTTGTGTTGGTGTCTGTTTCGTTTAACATCTCAGGATGGGGTAGTGATTAAGAATTAAGAAACGAGATTTAGCATGGTAGTAGCTTTTATATAAGGAGAGCCATGAGGGCGGTAGACTGCCGCTCCGGGGAACCCGGGATCGAAAAATCCCAGGAATTTTTCAGGGGGTTATCCGTTCGGATATGTCGAGCCCCATCCTTCACCACCCGGCCGAACCCATAATGAGCTTGCTAAAGGAGGCCTTATTAGTCCCCACAGGGCAGAGAGGATTAAAAAAACCCGAACCAATAAAAAGGCAGTGAAAAAGTTAACTACAGTACTAAAAAAAAAAAACAATTGATATGTAAAGAATATTGCATCAAGTAAAAATTATGCATCCGAAATAAAAGCCAAATTTTTTCTTGGGAGTTTCTCTTTGGTAAAGATAAGCTTTTTTACTTGTATCTACACTTCGCGTTTTTATTTAGTAATACGATGAAGCTTTCGAGAACCAATTTCAAAGACAATCTTTGTTTTTCTCACGCGTCGAAAGCAGGATGGACGACTGAGTGCTAGCGTTCCACACTGTCATTATGTTTTTATAAAATTATTACACGGTGAAATGGCTATTCTCTTTATTACATAAAAAAATTAGAATTTCGTCCTTGACTGAAGCTAATTAGGAGACACTAAATTAAAGCAACTCGTCGTCAATCTGAATAAAGCAGTGAATTCTTACCTTTGTTCTAAAACTTCCTTAACTTACGTTAACGTATTATACCTTGAATAATGTTTATGTACTGCATATAAGGTATATATGGTCAGTTTTTCGAGCAAAATTGAATAAGAAAATCGGGATTTAAAAAAAATTTATAACTGAGAAATGTGTCATACCTTACGGGATTAATCTCCATTCCATTATTTAAATTAAGCCGATTTTTTACATTGTATTATATTGCGATATTCTCTTTAAACTTTCACAGATATACTTCTTTTTCTTTANTCCACACTGTCATTATGTTTTTATAAAATTATTACACGGTGAAATGGCTATTCTCTTTATTACATAAAAAAATTAGAATTTCGTCCTTGACTGAAGCTCATTAGGAGACACTAAATTAAAGCGACTCGTCAATCTGAATAAAGCAGTGAATACCTTACCTTTGTTCTAAAACTTCCTTAACTTACGTTAACGTATTATACCTTGAATAATGTTTATGTACTGCATATAAGGTATATATGGTCAATTTTTCGAGCAAAATTGAAAAAAAAATCGGGATATAAAAAAAAAATTATAACTGAGAAATGTGTCATACCTTACGGGATAATTCTCCATTCCATTATTTAAATTAAGCCGATTTTTTACATTGTATTATATTGCGATATTCACAGATATACTTCTTTTTCTTTATGTAATATTTTAATATTACCTGTACTAATTCCATAATTATTCTCTTTTCACAACGAGGAAAACACGGCGACTGATGATATTTTAACCGAGTGACTGCTTCGTGCTCTTTCAGTCTTGTTCCCAGTATTCGTTTAGTTTCTCCTACACAATACATCTCTTCACTGTAAGTACAATTTAACTTATACACGACACCTGAAAAATTTATACAGTATTTTGTAATTTAATTTGATCATCATACTTTACATTAAAATCCATTTTATTCTTTAACTTTGCAGCCAATACTATATCAAATTTAATTAAAAAACTCAAATATACTCTATATATAAGAAAAGGTTCACCACCTCAAATTAGTACTGTAGTGTCTTGCCCCAGTATATCATACTTTTCCTGTTAGCAACAGAGTCGTGTCGGTCATCCATCTAGCAACTTTCAGGGAAATTTTTGAATTGAAATAACGTGACTTCAAGTTAATCGGAGCCTCCTGCCCCTTCCATATCATTTATCTAACACATCGAGATTAACACTGCATGGCTGCATATTTGCAACCCATAGTAATTTCCGAATCAATAGGATCAAGCACCAAATGATTGGAATAAATAGATTTGCGAGTCCTAAGTATTTCCGGAATAACAATTCAGAAGTCAAATTCCATTGTTGTGAAATATTTATATCCACGACATTTGCGTGTTAAATTGTTCTTAGATGAAAACAGNTCCATTTTATTCTTTAACTTTGCAGCCAATACTATATCAAATTTAATTAAAAAACTCAAATATACCCTATATATAAGAAAAGGATATATATTTGTCATCTTGTTTTTCTTAAATTTAACTTTATATCTATTTTCTTTATGTGCAAAAATGAAATCTTTTCAAATTCGTATGTTCTCTTGTTATATGACACCAAATCTTATCGAAAATTAATGTCATAAGTAATTTGACGCAAAAAAACAGGATATAACTGATATAAATTCCTCGGAATTATGCGAGGAAATAGAAAATATTTTAATTTCTCTTAATCCTAATATGAACGCATTTTCGGTACTTAATTAAGTACGGTCGACCCTATATAACACTCCGTTTTATATGAATTCCGTGTTGTACGAGCCACTTAGATTTTACTAATACGTGTGCCGGGCGGTGAACGGCTCACGTATTTGTAAAATCTAAGTGACTCGTACAACACGGAATTCATATAAAACGGAATTATCAACAGTGTTATAAGGGGGTCGACTGTATATAATTTCTTTTAATAAATAAACAATTGGGTGTAAATATACATAAATATATTCAATACAACCGAATCAATCAATCGTAATTTAGATTTAAATAAGACCACAGAATAATTTCAGTATATTATAGACTAAAATTTAGAATAAAAGCAGCGTTTACCAATTAAAATCTTTTTTACTTTATTGTTGAAATTTAATTGTGACAAACAACGATATTGTTTGTCCAACAATCACATCTCCGAATTGTTTACTCCTGTAGAGATCGTAATTTAAAATTAATGTCTCGTAATAACTTTACAGACGGAAAAAAAGATTCCATAACAGATATTGAGGAGAGAAAAAATCTTGATGACGAAAAGATCTCTCGTAGACAGGATTTAATTCTCGATGATAAAATACACGGAATCGATTCAGATAGTAAAATCGGCGAATTTTACGAAGCTATTCGACGTAATAACGTGGTGCAGGTACGAAGATTTCTGGAGGAGGGGATAAATGCCAATGAGCAGGATATTGCAACGGGAAAATTGCCGTTGATCGAAGCAACAAATTTGGGACACGTGGAAATCGTCAAGGCTTTATTAACGGCATACGCAGATGTCAATCGTACCAACATCCAGGGTAGCACGGCTCTCCACGTGTCTGTTAGCCCGAAAGCTTTCAACAAAGAAATAGTAAAGTTATTTCTGGAACGAAGAAGTGCAGATTACAATATACAAGATACAGCGTCAGCAAGCACACCTCTGCACATTTTGTGTAAATTCTGTATATCTGCGAAAAATACTCCCTTGTCGACATTACACAATATACTAAAAGAGATGGTAACGAGGTGTGATTTAGAATTAAAAGATACGGTGGGTAACACTCCTCTTCATATACTAGCTATGGGAAAAGAAGAAGACCTGGAAGCAGTAGAGATCGTTCTTTCAGCCAGACCTAATATAAACGTAAGAAATAATTTAGGAGAAACTCCTGTAGCCATCTCGATCGATCACGGAAACTTTCGCTCGGCTCTGGCTATGCTAAAATGCAAATTAGACACAGATGCCAGAGATCGAAACCAATATACTTTGCTCCATTATGCAGCCAAGAAAAATGCCATCGAAGTGATAAAGAAACTGTTAGAAAAAGGATGCGATCCCAATGCTCAAGATGCAACCGGTGATACCGCCTTGCATGTTACTGCCGGAAGAGGTTTCGTAGAGGCGACGTCTGTCTTACTGAAACATCCGAAAATTGACAAAAATATGCAGAATTTTGGGGGTTACACTCCTTTGATGTGTGCGGTTGATAGCGGCTTCCCAAAAGTAGTCGAACTGTTAATGGCAGCCAAATGTGATATATATGTCAAGTGCCCAGAGACCAACAAAACAGCCTTGGATATTGCCAAAGAACGAATTATCAAAAGAAACAGACGAGACGTTTACGATCTCCTGATGAATGAAAAATATTAAAATTCCAAAATTATATATTTTCAACAGTTGATTTATCTTCGGAAAATAAATATGTAAATACTCTATTAATTAAACAGCATTTAATTAACTTTTAAATTAATATTAAAATTAATTTTAATGAGAAATATGTTTGTCGTTAAATTAATGTTAAAAATATTTAACATTAATACAATTTTAAATAAAATTGATTTATTTATATAATACATAAATAACAAACAGTTAATTGAAAGTACAGATAAATATATTTTTTAGAATTGAATTTATTAATGCAGAATGATATAATATGATATAAATGACTAATAAGGAAAAAGAATATTTCGTTGTATAATTAAGAATGTTTTCAATTGGTAATTTAAAACATGACAACATTTCAGAAGAAACATTAGAAAAATCTCATTACAATTTGCCCTCTTTCAAACCTCCAGATCAGACAAAATAACGGTAGATGATCTATTTTGAGGTCCTTTTTGGCGTCGAATACGCAAAATATGGCAAAAAATCCTTTTTGACGATATAATTACGCATTGGTGCGTTGTAGTTTCGTGAGCCCCCCTAATTAAAATCTATCTGGACCCCATGAAGCTATAACGCACCACTGGTCAAAGGTTGCTATTGTCTTGAGCATAGCGGGATTTTGCAATATCTGGACAAAACACGTAACCATCCGGATAATCCTTCTTCAAGAATGGAGAAATGCTTGACGTACTCTGTACTAGATACTTCTGTGTTAATGGAATGTTTAGACAGTGCAATGAAGACCCGAGACCACCCGCAAGGGTTATGGCTGCCCAAGGCAAAACTTTGTTAGGAACTCGGAAATGACGTTTTAACTTCACTTCTTGAATTGTCTTTTCTTTTCTCACAGTAAAACTTTTATTTCCTTCGCATATTCAGAGCCACCAAATGTAAAATAAAACTTGCCATGCATAACAATATCCAGGTTGTTTTTGAGTCTCAGATCTCAAAGTTTGTTTAGTTGTCAGAGTAGCCTCGTTTTGTTTTCTGCTTAACAGTGTACTTGAGTGCAGAAATCCTTTTCCTTTCGTTTAATATTCCATATACGTTCGTTTTAATCCTTTTTCTTCAGCTCTGGACAACCATTTTTTCTTCTCTTCCATTCTTAACTTACATCAATCAAGTTTTTTTTTGGAATTCCCATACATTTTAAATGTTCCATGGTAAAAAGTTTACTCTTCTTCAAATTTCTACTATAAATATTTCCAATGATTTTTCTGTTTGTCTTCTTTTAGGCCTTTCATCCCGAAAAGTCAAACGATTTTCAAAAAAGAACGTTCAGAATAGAATAAGTAACTCACATGCAACAAAAAACAAAAAGAGAGGAAGTTATTCCGATTTTTAGTTTACATGTTTACATGTACAGTACTTGTTATTAACATAAAAAAATTAAAATATTTTTTGGTGCTTTTGGAACTATATGCAAGCTAAGTGAAAAGTAATGATAACACTATTGTTGAAAGAACAAACACTCTGGTGGTGCTTCATGTGAAAATAACCTAATCTAAGTGTAGGATACTTCTGATGTGGAAAGAAAGAAGATGAAGACAAGGCAACTGAACTATCTCACTCAGATATTTTAACCATTTGGCAACATGCCTAGGGCCCAGAATACAGGAGTCCATGGCCCAAGATGTAATAAACAGGACTAATACTATTTTATAAAAATATACTAATATAGGGCTATGTATACAAATAATAGCTACTGTACCAGGGTCAAGTAGTCAGCTGTAGTATGGTGAAAGATTGAATTGTCAAAGGAAGTTTGAAATCCCTTAAAGCTTAGGAGCTTGGATATGGCCCTTATCTCATTACTATCAAGACACCCTGTAGCATGTTTACAAAAGTTGAAACAAAGCCGTTAAAGTGGCATGTGGTTGCAATATAAAGGACGAAGCAGAAGTGCCAAATAAATGGTGCACCCAGAATCTTTACAACCAAAAAATAAAACATTGAAGAAAAAATCCAACAGCAAAAGTGATGCTGATTGTTGCCTACAGAATGGATGATGTAATTCTTCATTGTGCAGGGACAAACTGAATGGTGAGTAATACTAAAGATTTCTTGAAAATTATCTGCATCCACCACTAAGAAGATAGTAGTCACATTTCATTAGGAGTAATCCACTACTACTCATTCACAACAATGCTTGATTTCACATAGTCCAACCAATAAAAAAATTTTTGGCAAGGTGACCTCGAAACCCCAGACATTAGTCCATGTTTTAGTACCTTGTTTTCTAAAATCAAGGAATGACTACAAGGTTAAAGGTTTCCTAGAACACTTAGAGGACTAATACAGCTGAGGTATTCCACACTGTAAATGAAAAAAGGCTCCACCAACAAAATCAGTTGCCTTGAATAATTTGGAATAGAATATCAACCCAGTAGTGATTCTTTGGGTTGATAATTATATTGAGAGACAGGAATGTTAACTTCATATTTAAATACAGCTTTATGTTCATATTATATAAATGTCTCCAATACTTTTCACTCAGCCCATATATATAAACAAACTATATTTTGATGTTAAAAAATCCTGATAATACTTTGTATATTTTGTGTTCTCTAATTAACATAAGTAAACTTCAATTAACCAGGCACTGTTTATCCAGATCACAATTATCCGGATTGTTCTCCAACTCCATAAAAAAGTAAATAAGCATGTACCGTATATGCATGAATAGTAGTTTTTTTCTAAATGTAGAAAATAACTTATATTCATTTATAGTTACTGTACATTTCCACATTTGCACATAATTACATAAACATATGGGGTGTTTGGATAGAAAAAAAATGACTATGTTAAGCAAAAATCCAATTATTTGGATATTCCACATATCTGGATACACTGAGATCCCAATTAATTTGGATAGTAGGAGTTTTACTGTACTTGAAGCATATACTGTGAGATTATTCTAATAGTATTCAGAACACAGATGATATTTGATATGATTACATATCATATCAAATAAATATTCAATCTTGTTGTTGAATATATTCATCAACATATTTTCAAGAAACTAATAAAATTTTGAACTCACTTTGAAGTTATTGAATTCTACTTAATTCGAACAGGATTCAAATCGGCATTCTACAATTAAAAAATCTAGTATATTGGTTTTTTTAAAGCAATTGTTTGACTATCCAATAGAAAACTCATGTCAATTCCAATTATGTTGAAAAGCTATTAACTTTTTAGGCTATTTAATTCATGACATTCTGTTTCATGCTATTTTCTAATAAAATAATCATCATCAAAGTATAAATATTACTATATAAAATATTTTTTATCACTTAAAGAATAAAACCAAGAGCCAGAAAAAATATTTTTGGGCTAAATAAGATCTGAGTATTTAGCATTATTTATTTAGGTTTTTCAACTGGTCAAAAACAAGGTGAAAAATAATGATTTTGTATTTTCTAAATAAGACCACCTCTATTTGCAAATATGAAACAACACCAGTATAATAAATTGTATTAATATGCTAAGTCCAATGTAAATAATGATATAATTAAAATTGAATACAGTAAGGACATAGAGGCAAAAGAATTAATACAAGAATATGAGTTTTGTACATTTTTACATTTCTAACTTAAATTTTTTATGTAGTAAATAAAAATAAATAAAATAAAATATAACAACATTAACTTGCTTTATTTAGAGTAAATAATTACATAGATCAACATTTCAAATGTTTTTGAGCTAGCGCTCACCTTTTTCTTCTTCTTTTATTAATAATAAAAAATTTATTTTAAAGAATATTCCACTAATCCATTTCGTAATTCCTTTATCAATATATTTTCTGTTTGTTTCCCTGACATTTAGTTAGCTTTGATCTTTAATTTGAATACTTTGAACTTTGAATACTTAAGATACTTCTTATCAGTTCTTTTTTTAACAAGAGAACATTTATACTTACCATTCTCATAAAGATTTGTCTTTACAGCACAAATGATTCCACCACTTTAAAACAATTTGTTGTTATCATACATCTTATGATATGATGAAAATTTGCACTTATATGTGATAAAAAAACCATAGATATAAGAGATTTATTTTTTTGTTATATCACAAGCACATCCAATTAGCTAGTTTTATCTCAACTGGAGCTATAAACTAACTAATGTAATTCAAATCTATTTTATATATTAAATAAATGAATTAATAAATTTTAATATATTATTTAAATTCTATTTTAACATTAATTGCTATTTATTATTAATTCGACTTGCAGTACTTTTTGGAAATTGAGGTTACAATGTAATAAAAACTAAATCAGTTTATATTCAGTCAGATTTTATTTTGGATACTAATGCATTATTACAAATACTACTGGCTGGTCAAGAAAGGTGAAATGAATAAGGATGTGATTTTTCTCTAAAAGTGGGGAAGAATGTTTGGAAATTATTAGTAATAAAACTTAAAAGTACAACATTGAAATACAACATATTTGGAGAAAATAAACACTTTCCCTAAAAAATTTTAACGGTAGATTTTTAATAAATATTTCTCTAATATAGCATTCTACTATTATCAGCACAATTCCACCAAATACTACTAATTTTCAGGCAAACAAAGACTTCCAAATGAAACAACACATCAAATTATCACTTTTTCATGCTATTATTAATTTCTCACACATAGTAAATCATGATCATGTTACAAACATACTCAATTAACAAGTTGTAGTTAAACAGTCAAGAAGCAATAATGACAAAAGACAATTGGAAGTAAATTTTTCAATATCATAGCAAAATCAGAATTATGAACGACATATCATGCACTGATGGAAAATGATTCATTTTCCAAATTTTATGATCTGGCACTATGCAATTTGTTCATTATATGAAAGCAGATAAAATAAGCTAAAATCGACCTGCCAGTATAACATATTTTACAAATATTCTCCCTTGACTAATTGCTAGAGATGATGGATAATATACATTGTTTAAATGTATTTTATTTATTGTACAAGCTACTACCAAGGGATAGTATTTCTTGATTTAAACTGAAAATAACTTGTGTGTAATGTACATAGTTACTGTATAAATGACACAAATTCAACTTATTAATGTTAAATTTCTTAAGGAACATATTGTTTAAAATACATAATGCCAAGCATTATTAAAGCTGAAGCATAAGTAAATTTCAAAAAGTTTATGGGTGAATATATATTCAGAACTTAGACTGTATCCTAATTGCTGCAAGATAATCCATGCTTGGAAAATATTTATGATGACTGTTTGGTGCAATTAATATATCCCCATCCCACAAAATAACATATTGCAGCAAAATGCTTTGTAGTACTTCAAATGCTGTCAATACTAATAGCACAATGGCATATAGAAAACACTACACATAATTCTCTGTACATTTTGTTGCAGTCTGTTCCCAATTTTTTAACACGAGAAGACACTTTGCACAGCACTAGATAACTCTGTAAAGCTGTTCCATAAAGATGTGCTGAAAGCACCAAAAGCATCATCTCCATTACATGTTCATGTCATACTTGTTTTGATGCTTTGTTTTGTACAAAGCCTTTTGCCTCTTTCATTAGTCTGTTCACATCTTCACCATCACTATCACCTTCTGGTTCCCAATCAGAAGCTGATTCTTGTGGTTCATAATCATCTGATTCTTCATCATTTAAATCATTCATATTTGAATCTTCTGGTTCATCATCATCGTCATTTTGTCTTTTTCCTATTATTTTAAAATTGTTTTATTTAATAAAAAAGAAAAAAAAAAACATTTGTTGTGATTATTCATTTCATATTTTACCTGCTTTTTTTGCAGCTTCTCTTTTTGGGCGTACTTTCTTTGTATGTCGATATTCTTTTCTGTGTTGTGAATTCTTCCTGTAATATATTTTGATAAGAATATTCGTTATTTAGTGACAGGACATTTTAATTATAATGGTTCTTTAGAATTTGAATAAATAAATTTTTAATTATTAATTAAATTATAAAATGTTAAAATTTCTACCTGTAACAATCTATTCCATAAGGACACTCTGGAATTTCTCCATCATCGCTTTCATTGGTGGGATCACTATTATAATCAGAATCTCCAGGATGACTATAGTCTTCAAAGTGTATAGGATTTTTTCTGATAAAGATCCAGATTAAACATGTGTAGAGTTTTGATAATTGTTATTTATATCATTTAATGTAAGAATTGCATTAAAAATATTTTATTGCAGAATCTTATGTATGCACATATGTATACATACAATTTTTGGTGATAAGCAACTTTATTTTTGGTAAATTCAATTACATTTGATGTGCAACTTCAACTAAAAGTGATAGCAAATTTTGAAATATATTTCATTCTTTATGCAAAATATTGTAAACATGTATATTAAACTTCCATTATACTTTTTTAAGATATTAATTCTTAAAAAATACAAGAATTAAGAAGAATAAAAAAAACAGTGGAAAAGTTAAAAAGAAAGTTATCTTTGTATTTTCCATCTTAAAATTAACTCAAAAAAAAATTCTTATACAGGGTGCTTAGTAAAGATCTTATACACCCATATATCTGACAAATACAGACAGCTACAGTTATGAACATGATATATAATTATACAAAGGTGACTATGCATTACAAGAGACCATTTGCAGTGTCTATAGCAGTAAAATTTGGAAGTTAGCATTCCTAAAAGTCAATTACAAAGTTGTAGAGCATGAGCAATTTAATATCAAAAGGCACTTTGTCTACATAAATAGTGTGAATAGAAAGCATGAAATACTAATGTGCACATTGAGCACAGACAATAACATATGTATTTCTGATGTATTTATTTATATGTGTATTTCTCATTTTCCTATGTTTTGTGCAACATTCATTTCAGTGTGTTATACGTTGTGCTCACACGTCAATATATAAGGACTTTACTATTCACCCTGTATATATAGTATAATAGTAGGCAAATAAATAAATAAATTGTTTTTGAAATTTTCAAATATAGATAGTAATTATTATAATCAAATGGTCAGAAATAGATTATCTATCTAATAATTTAAAACTTTAATCTTATACAATATTCCTGCAAAAGCAATTTTACTAATTCATATTTTTTTTTCTTAATCTTAGTTAATTCTCTCTCAGATCACTATTACAGCTACCTGTTTCAATATTAACAATCACAGAAGACGGATTCATCCAAATAATTTTGAATTGAAATACTTGTATTCAGAAAAACATATCTCTTAAATAACAAAAACAAAATTGCTGTCATAAAATGTTTTAGAATTACATTTCTAAAACTAAATATTTTTTTAATATTTCAATACAAAATATAAAAACAAAAATATTTAAACATGACACTTAAAGGAAACATATATGTAAAATAAACCATTAAATCCACATCATAATTAAAAATATTAACATTATAGAGTTATTACTACTATGCTGATGTCATATCCAATTTAAACATTCTGTTTTCACTATGCTACAATCTTCCCTCAAACATTTAACTAACAGGTTTCAAATATTGTAAAAAGCACCTCATTTTACTGTAGCACTTTATAGTGAACATTACTAATTCATATCATTCAAAAATAATTTTGATTTTTTTAAAATTAATTTTTAAAGTCAGTTGATTACAGTCTTCTGTTGTATAATGTTCTCTAATCATAGTTAGCTAAGATCAAATGTGCTTTATAAAAGATATATCAGTTAATCAATGAATTAACCATTTTTAACACAATTTGATGACCAATTAATGAATCAAGTGCTAAAAATTATCCAATACAATGGTTTAATTAATTGCCAGAAATCATTAAAATTTTTTAACAATTTGTTACAATTAATTAAACCATTTTTTGTAATGCAAAAGATAACATGTGAATATATTTGGATTTTCTCAAATTTTATGATTGCATTATTTAATTTAATTATCGTATTTCACATTTTTTTCATGATCTTTGAAAGTGTTTATTCATAATCTGTATATTCAAGATACTCTGTTTATTAAGAAATTAAAAATGTTCTTGTCTCAAGCTCTTTCTTTTATGCTGTATTCTTTACTAGAGATATATTGAAGATATTCACTTTCATATTTTCATAAATTGTTTTACAGTATAATCCTGTTTATCTGGCTCAAATGGGACCAATGGATCCGGATGACCAAAAATCTGGATACTCCAGAAAATTCACTAACAACATAAACAACAGAGTGTATATACATTCTATTTTATATTTTTAATTTCTCTCCATTATATCAACCAGTTTCTTTATTTAGATGTCATTTTTATGATGCTTACTTTACTTTATAAAAGATTGAAAGTGATTGAAACTTAGTGAAACAATAGTAGCTGTGGGTGTTGAGTGAATAATAACTCATGTTGTAATAATAATGACAAATGATACTTTTTATTAACATGATGATGATTGCTGTGAAAAGCACAGTATTTTTATTCAATAGGAAAGTTGCAATTTTTTTATAATTTGAAAATCTTAAAAAATTTTGAAAAGATTCAACATAATATTAAGTAAACTCAAAGAATACTCTTGCAGAATGCATAATAATGAACATCATATGCCAATTCATAGAAAACAAATTATTCTTGCAAGCTATTCTGGTCCAGTCTATTCTTGCAAGTTGCAATATACTTAGGAGTTCTTTGATTTTTTTTTGTATTTATAGGTTTTCTGTATCTCTTATCTTTCATAATTCTGAAACAGGGATTATGTTTTATAATCCGGATTAACAAGATCTGAATAAACAGGATTCCACTGTATATATTATTCAAATTTATTTTAGTCTGTTAAATATTTTTTCAATACTTGCAAATTATTCTTACTCGCTCTTTTTGAACTTTATCTGTATTAAAAATTTTAATACATATATTTAATAAAATTAACAAAGTTATTTTTGATTTTTGAATCTTAATTTATCTCCTGATAACTGCATTAAAATATATCCCTTTAGATATGAATTAGTACTGCTTTTGTATTTTGAATAAAATTAATCGTTTAATACATAAGTATCATTATTCTACACTTATTTATCATTAAATTATACTTTAGCTGGACATCACAGTAATTATTAAAAAGTTTAAGAATATTTTTTAAATATTTTATTACTTTTATTTTTGGTATAGATTTCATAGAATATAATTTATTATTATTATTATTATTATTTTGTTTTAAATATAAGTAAATAGTTTTTGAAGCTTATTTTTTATTTTACCATTCAACAGTAACATAACAGAATATTTTTAATGTACAGTACAATCTCAGTAATCTGACCATTTGCTAGTTTGACACATCCATTAATCTGACACTAGTCAACTTTTTCGGTATTATTGGCACTGTTGTCAAATCGTCAACAAGCTTTCCATTAGTTCAAACTCTAGTTTCCACTAAATATGATATGATATTAAGCTCGAGCTTGGGCAAGATATTAAAGATTGTTAGGCTCAATGTCGTAAGATGATATCATTTTAGTCTGCTCAAAAAAAAGAAAAAAGACACAATTCCTTTAAATATAAAAATCAGTCCCCTAAATTCCCACCAAATTCCACACACTGTACCTTCCACTAAATTTTCTATGATCGCTTACATTTTCCATTAAATTTAGTGAAAATCTACCAACTTAGCAATACTGATTACCGGAAATGGCAATACTCTTGATGTTTTGCTCAACAGTCCAGCTTGTGTTTTGTTGCATTATTAACATTTGGCTTCACAAATGACATACATAATTTGGACTCAATGAAAAAATTGCATAAAACAGCTTTTGTGCAATCATTCAAAACAAAATGATGCAAGACAATTGAACACTATTTTAAAAGGTTTGATAATTAATTTGAAAACCCTAGAATAGACTAACATATGATAGTAAGAAAATATGATAAGAGAACAATTTCATATGTTTTTGATTAATATAATGTACTAATATCATGCAAATAAACAAATGTCTTTTTCCCAAATGATTAAATCATTGAATTCATCTTACTTCCAATAATCCAGCAATCTCATTAATCTGATACTGTTCTGGCCTATATGTGTCAGATTACTGAGACTGTACTGTATTAGCAAATTTATACAATATCAGACTCTAATTATTTGATTGTCATATATACTAGACTAGATAACTAGACTGCATATAATGATTAAAAACAAAATGTTGAATATATTTTAAATCTTATTTAAATTTTGGCATTAAATACTGAAAATTCTTATATTTATAGAAAAGTGTAAAAATATAATAGCATTATTAAGCCACAACTCAACAATCTGGAAATTTAATCTTTCTATATCTTTCAGTTTTGTTGGTTATTAACCAAAAATACAGAAACATTAATTACTTAAAATACTTTAAAAATTTATTTAATTTGATTTGTTTTAGTGAGAATGTTTTTCATACATGAATACAATAAATTGCCACCATATACGTATATGAAACTGCAGATAAACTTCTTGAACAAAAATGAAATTTTTTTTTACTTCTAGTATATCTGAAACAGACTATGCTTCTTGCAACATTTTGTAATAATTATATTCAAAGCAGATATATAGTATTTTTAATGATGATGTAAACAAATCTGCAACACTGTACATGAAGAAAAATTTATCATATTTTCATCCAAATAACACATGAAAATTTTAGAACAAAAATAACAACTTTACGTAACCTGTTAATTGTATATTCCATGCCTATGGAGGCAGCCATTGCTCTATGGACACAAATCCATAATTGCAATTTAAAATTAGTATAACCCAATCTATTATGTTAATAATGAATCTTGTAAACTGGTAAAACAAATTATAAGCACGTTCAAGCCTTTCCCAGCTTAAAATATTTTTATCTATCTGTCTAGGCAAATGTTTGATAAATAAAAATATTTTATGCTGGAAAAGGCTTAAACTCTTGTAACATGCTCCATTGCAAAACCTAGTTTCAAGTTGTTCACAGATAATCTGCAGGTTAGTCACAAAAATGTGGCAATTTAAAATTTTAAAAAGTAAAACCAGACTTTTTGATTAATATATAACATTTACTGAAAGAATGAAAAGGTTATCATAAAGCTTAAAGTTATTTAATTAGACTTAAATTTAAAGATAATTTAATTTGTGGAAAATTAAATTAATGACATTTT